CCCCATTCAGAGTTACTAAATAACATTCTTTTTTTTTTTTCTTGGTACCAGGGATTGAACTCAGGTCCTTGTGCTTGGAGGCAGGCAGCGGAATCACTGAGCTAAATTCCTGGCACAACATTCTTTCTTTTAACAAGACTTCCAAGTTACCTGTAATCACATCAAACTTAAGCACATCAAAGTTTGGGAAGCACTTCTATAGACCTATAAAAAATCTAATCCTACTTGTGGGCATATTTTTCTAACACAGAGATTCTCTAAATGTGACCCAGAAGCATTGGTTTCACCTAGGAACTTGATTGAAGTACAAATTCTAGAAACCTGCCTGAGGCCAGTTGAATTACAAACTCTAAGGCAGTAATCTGATTTAATTCTCCAAATGATTCTGGTGAATCCAGAAGTTTGAAAATCCTGACTCTAATGCCTCACAATCTGTATACCTATGCTTAACCAGGAAAGAGGAGTCAGCAGTGACACCCTGTGGAGCCAAGGAAGGTTTGCACCTTTTCTATGAGCATACCTGCTTTTCTATCTCCCTAGCAGGATAAAACCATCTTTGTTCTTTGTACTGTAAATACAAAGCTGATTTCATTCTTTACTAACTATTGGCTTCAGGGTCTTATGCTTATTTGGGTCATGAAGTTTAGGTTAAGTCAGCAAATATGTATTCATCACTATGTGAGTTAGTGATAAAGTGCAGAAAATACAAAGCATATCAAATTGGCCCCTAGTACAGTAAGTTTTATCAATAGCAGAACCAGCTACCATTTGATTATTAGCTGTGACAGACCTATCATGCTAATTGTTTCCAAAATTAACCTCTAACCTTATGTACTTGAGATGTGTGTTATTCCCACTTCATAGAAAGGAATGTACTAGTTGTAATTTATACTCTTAATCACACGAAGTTTCTCCTTAAAGTGATCCCCAAGGATTATTACTATTAGACTCACTAAGTATGTATACTTCAAGTATAGGACCTCAGAGATCCACTAAATCAAATCTCTGGGGGGCATGGCATGTTCAAGTACTCCAGGCAAATTTTACACAAAATTTCAAAACTACTGTATTACATTATATTCCCATCAAAATATTGCCCTGTGGATCTTATGAGTTAATATCAAAGATTTGTGGAGCAGTATGCAAAGATGATCAAGTATTTTACAGATATCTATGTTGTGGAAGTCATAACAGATTTGAAGAGGTTATTGATGGTACAGATTTACTTATAGTGTTATCAGAAAAAAAAAACCACACTGAGATATCAATGCCAGATGATCCTCTAGACTCATTTTCTAAGCAACTTGCTCATTGTATGGCATCTCAAATTCTTCTGTAAGGAAAACTCAGAAGTGTTCCCTATATTTTTTTAGGAGGGGTGAAGGGAGGGCAGGGACAAGGGGAAAAAAATGAGAACCAAGACCTGTCATGTACAGGTACAAGATCTCAATAATGAATGTAACTGTACTGTATACCTAAAATGTACCAATAAACTCAATGAAGGGGGAAAAAAAGAGTTGTATAGAATCTGGCTTAGAAATCCCAAACCAATTACCCAAGGAAATGATATAGATTTTAAAAGGGTCAGAATTAGAACCTTGAAGTCATCTCTTGAGATACTTATAGGACAACAGTCCACATTGAGACAATGTTAAGTAAAATAAATCAGACACATATACTTAAATATCACATGGTTTCTCTTGTATGAGAAACTCAAAACACAAAGAATTTAAAGAGAAAAATAAAAGATCATAGGATTCAGGGAGGTAGCAAATGGGAAGGGCACCAAGAGATGGAGAGAAGAAAGAATGAGGGGAGGAGAAGGAAAAGTTAAAGGACTCAGGATGTGTTACATACATGTACCATCCCCACTGTGATTATGTACTGCAAACAGTACAAGTAATAAAAAAAACTCAAAACTTTAAAATAATTTTAAGATTCTACCTGGAATATATTTCAACTCTAAACAGACTATTTCAAAGTTCTTTCTGAAAAAAATATTTTTTTTTTGGAATTGTTACTATCACTTTAAAAATTTCAGCTTTTATATTTGAAACTTTAAAATCCATAGCTATTTTAGCATCGGTTATGCAAGTTGTGTTATGCCCCCTGGTGGCAATATAGATAGAAAGATGAGAAGCATATTTCAATCAGAGGGAGAGTGCAGACTTAATTGAAATACGTGGCAGGGCCTGAATTTGAAATAGAATTTCATATAAAACTTTTCTGGTCTTACTAAAAATAGGAAACATCCCGTTAAACTAAAATCAGATGTATTAACTTCAGCCTGCGAGGTGCATATTTCAATTTCCCTTTCTTTGTCATAAAATGGATTAGCTTTTTGAAATATGTCAGTTGAACTTGAAATTAAACATTTGCTCTACATATAACTAAGTAGCTGAACTCATAAAAGGTAACTAAAGTCTGTATCTGCACAGTATTTCCTTCACAATCAGGTCTTGGCATATGCCTTACTCCTAATGCCATGTACTTCTTCCGGGTATTAATTTCCCTATATTAAGAAACTTTAAGAGGTTACTTGGGACAAAATAGTCATTTTATAAAGATGTTCTGAGGGGGAAAAAAAAAAAAACCCTGTAAATTTTATAATTTATACCTCAAAACTTCCAATATAGTTTTAAGGACTTAAACTGAGAAGGGATTTTTGAGTAGTTTTTTAACTGGGGGTGAAAATAGATCATGTGTTGAGGTACCAGAACATTACACTGATATTTTGTGTGAGAAAATGCATAAAAGGGTTGCTCTTGGAGCCGGGGGTATAGTGCAGTAGCAAAGCAATTGCCTAGTACAATCCCAGCATGGCAACCAATAGTAAGAACAAACGATAAGCTTGACTTCAAAGGCTGTATTAGTCATTGACGAGAACAATGGCTGTTCCTTAGGTAAACACTTAAGTGACTATTAGGTATGTGATACTACTCTGGATTAGAAATACTAAAACATGTAGTTTTCCAGCATCAAGAAACACAAAGTGTACACAGGTGGAAAACACATAGAAAAAGTACAATATTATTAAACATTTAATGAAAATAACTAAAACAGGAAAAAAAGTTTAAAAAAATAGAATTACAGCTAACTTTGGATGGAGTCCTGAAGAATGAGTATTTTGCAGTTGAACAAAGAAGACACTGTAAATTAAGGGAAAATAAAGGTATATACCACAAAGGGTGAAGTGTATGGAAACTAAAAGTTGTCCAGGAGTGCCTGAGAAGTCATTAAAAGGCAAGAGTTTAGATTATGAAGAGTTGCAAAATTTATGCATGTTTACTCTATCCTGCAAGTGAAAGATCAAAGAAAAAAATACTTAGGAATTGTGTACTAAGTAGTTAAGCAAAAAAACCAAAACAAAACAAAACATGATAGGCATTTATGTCCTAACGATGCATGTAAAAGAAAAATAACACAGCCCACCAGGTTTACACCTGTGATACGTGTACTCTGGGAGTCTGAGGTAGGAAGATCACAAGTTTGAGCCTGGCCTGGGCAACTTAGTGAGATTCTGTCTCAATATCAAAAAAGGACAAGGGACATAGTTAGATGCAAAGGCCCTGGATCCAATCCCAGTACTGCATAAACAAAACAAAACCAGAAACTGAAATGTTTTTATTTTACTCTTAAGTAATTACTAATTATGCCTATTGGGCAAACTATATAAATTTTCAACCCTTAGAATCTGATTAAATACTGCAACTTTCATGATTTTTCAGGCACTTGCTTTTTATCATAGAAAACGCCAAAAAATCCAGTTTCACCCATGTCATTGAAGTATGGTACAACAAAACTGTGAGACAACTTGAACTAGTAGTTCACAGTGGTGTCTGACAGTTATCAAATATTAGTTTCCATTGTAAATTTAAAATATTCCATGGTTCTGTGAGTTCACTATGTGAGAACAGTTTGAGAAGCCAAAAGATGTTGCACAGGCCACTAACACAGTTTAATTTTTTCATGTTAGACTACCATTGTTTCATGTGTATGTAGAAGTGTGTTGGACACTGAAAACCCAGTAAGAATATTACAGTACTACCAGGTGAGAAATGACAAGCATGTAAATTGAAACACGAGTAAAGGAAATGTGAGAGGGATAGTTAGGTACATTCACCTGCAACTTTTGATAACCAAATCCAAATGATGAAGATAGGTCCAGGGGGTTAAAATGTCTTAGATCTGAGTTTCAGTTACGTTACAGCTGTTACCTAGTTTTACAGGCAGATTTTGGGATTAAATTAATGATTAAATTATGGGATTAAAATTAATGTCTAAAGAGAAACAAGGAAGGGTCAAGTATCTATTCCTCCCTTAAAAATTATTTTTGCTGCCCATTCTGGATCTTTTCCTCTTATGGGAACCTCTAACAACAGTTTATTATCTCTGTCAAATACTCATGATGCTAAATATTAATAGGTACTGATTGTCTACCATTGTCAGGCACTATACTAATAACTTTAAATATTTTAACCTATTTTCATCATAAAAAGGCCAGTGGCATCAATAAAGACATAGACTACCAAACACAAACTTTCTCTTAACTAATTACATTACTAAGTGTGATATAATGGAAACGTGCCTGACTTCAGTATAGCACAGAGTAAAAGTCAAAATTTGGTCCAGCTCTGAAGATCTTTCAGGGATCTTCATGATTACTTTATAAAGTAGTAGTAAGAATATCTATCTAGAGCTGCTTAAGAGAATTAACTGAGAGTCCAACCACAAACTTAGGGCACAGCCAAGGCTCAATACTGCCATAATTCTGCATGTCAATAAAGTAACACCAGCCACGATAATAACAGAAACAAAAAAATGTATCAATTCAAAGGTAACTATTTTTAATCTACTCCAAAAAGTACATACAACAAGGGAGAGAGATACAAAGAGGTAAGTATTTTAATTACAAATTTAAAAGATGCTATATCTTATAAAACTAATACTTATAATAAGAGTTTATAATAGATTGAAGCAACATTATTTGGTATTTGATTCCTCCATTAGCTTTAACTTAACTATTCTCTTCCCAAGCCAAAAATTAAGAGGATAGCAAGGTATTTACAAGACGAAATGCAATTGTGTTGATCAGGCTGACATCCTGAACATCCTCTTCTTCAATTCAGTAGCTTTCTCATCTATCCTAGCAAAACACTCCTCCGCCGCCTTTTCAATGCCTTCATGGTATTTCTCCACAGCAGTTTTCAAGCTAAGAAATATATCCTAAATGGAAAATGAAACAGAATAAGAATTATTCCACGTGACACCCTAGTTTAAAAATGAATTACAAGAATTCCGACAGTTTCAAATTTATTAACAGTATTTTAAAACTCAAACTTATGCAGACACACCTGCAGTTATGCTTATTTTTATTAAAAATTCATTCATAAATTGTATGAACACATCAAAAAGTCTGCCCCTTAGAGAAAATAAAGCAGAAATGTGACAACAGCCAGGAGTCCAAGAAATTAGGAACAACTACTTGTAATAATCAGGAAGAAATTTTACTATGGATCTTTCCTTGTTAAACAAGGAAAATACCTACTTTATTGTAATGGATAGGTATAAACTTCTGCAATTGATCCTAATTATTATTTAAAAGATATGTGAATACACTTAATAATAAAAATGTATTAATACTTTTAGAATCATTTTAGTAAGCTGATCAGGTAGTTCTACCAGAAAAATAAGGTGAATTAGTTGCTAGCTTGTGTGAATGCCACTTAAAAAAAAAATCAGTACATTCAGCAGCTGTATATCAATTTAAGTTCCTAGTTTTATTGGGGTGTATGTTTATTCATACTCAAAAGAAAGATGAATAAATTTGGTAGAAAGATACTACTTGCAAGAAACTATCAAAACTAAGTGTGGCTAAATAAAGACATACAATGTGCAGATACATGAACTAATCATTTCAATAGACCCAAAGGAGCACTTCTCTCTTGAGAACAAATATCCTCTCAAGGAGGAGCCAATCACGAAGACAGCTGCCATAAATAAAGGCAACAGGAAAGCCCAATTCTAGTGACACACCCACAGAAGCAAAGAAACATATGAAATCCTAGCCAGCCCTCACAAAACGTCTAGTGGTCAGAGGACAAAGCCTTCACAAATAATATAGTTTACAATTAAATTCTGTATTTGCATGGAACTTTGTAATACTAAGTACAGTAATTCTCATGGCATGTTATTGTGAGGATCTCACTCAAGTACAAATCACTGGTAGAGCATTTTCACAGCATGAGCAAGATCCCGGGTTCTAGCTCAAACTCTCTCTCTTGTTCTGTTCTGTTTAATATAATACCTTGTTGTATGTAGCTATTTAAATTTAATAGAATTTAAATCAAAGTCAAAATAGTTTCTAAGACAGGTCAAAGGCTCAAGGTCCCACATGTGCCCAGTGGCTACAGAAAATCAGTGCAGAAAAACTTTATTATTGCAGAAAGTTCTACTGGCCAGTGTTGGTTTAATTATGTTTATAAATCAGAGAAACTTAAGATTATATAATATCCATGGAGTTTATAGCCATTATAACTATTTATCTCACTGAATATATTCTAATTCAGCAAACATTATTGAGTACTTTCTACAGATAGCATGATAAACAGTGCAATAGTATAATGGAAGATGCAATTATGCTTCCTTTCCTAAAGGTACAACCAGATCACCAGGTAAGACTGGGCAGACTGATGATAAAAAAACAAGTGTTTTAACAGATCATAAACATAGATCAAGGGTAAAACGCTGCTACTAAAAACCTAACACAATATTAAGCTTCATTAATGGTACCATTGTAATTCCAAGCTAGTCATACCATCATTTTGGAAGACTGTGTTTAATACTGGGTTCTGTTTTTTACAGGTATAAGAACAGAAAGGAACAGAGAAGATAGGAAAAAGGACACTAATGAATCTGAAAACTAAACTACATAAAGGATGGCTGGAAAAATGGAGCTAAGTAACCTAAATAAGAGAGACTGACAGACTCATGATTATCTTCAAAGGTTAAGTAAAAGAGAGTATAGATTTGTTCTAGAGAGAAGATCTGGGTTCACAAGAGTACAGAAATTGAAAATTTCAATTTGGGTCATTATGATCTTTGTATAACTGAAGCAGAACCTATAAGTGGTTCTCAAAAGCCATTCTAAAACTAAGATCCATGGTCCCCATTGCTGCACACTGTAATTCAGTGTATTTGGTTGGAAGGTTATTTAAAACTTCCTCACTGAATTCTAGTACACAGCCAGTGTTAAGAAACACTCTGTGATAGAGTACCTTTTAATCTTACAAATATTTGACATGCTAAGGTTAACACCACATAATTGCTAAGAAATTTTTTAAGTTATATTGAGACATATGCACACAAAACTAACAGTAATGTAAGATAAACATAGGTCACATTTGGTTTAATAACTGGTTACTGTGCATTAGTAATGAATTCATTAACTGTGATAACAAAAAAAATTTTTGATTTGATTTAGTTAAGGAGTAAGATTAAATAGTTCCTAGAGTTTTTTACACCCCATTCTAGGAATAAACACATGATCCAGGAGGAAGCAGGGAAAGTAATTTTAATACAGAAAGAAGAGGCAGAACAGAAAAAAGCAGGACAGGACACTGAGCAGAGTAAGGGAAATCATAACTCTTTATTTTCTCTTTTAAGTTTTTACTTTTCTTTTTCTAACCCTTCCCCTATCCCTGTCTTTCCTACTTTTTAAGTCTTGAGATAATATTATTATGTATATACCTAATTACACGTGGAAGTGCTAACAATGTACTGTCTCAGGGAGATGAGAGTGCTAGAGAATAGGTAAGGGGATTACAAGTGTGGCATTTTTAGTACAGTGCTATGATCTTTGCATACTTGGTATGGATGAGGGAAGATCATGACAGGCAAGTGTTTAAATGGTTCTCACACACCAAGGTATTTCAGAAACCTTGATGCAAAATGTTGATGTGGGCAAGATGAAGAACAATGAGAAAAAAAGAGGCCAAGAGATTTTGCATGATAAATGGCTATTTTTATTTCTGGTAGAGTAGCTCGGGCAATTGTTCTAATAGAAAAACCTTGAAGATGTAAGTCAAATCTTAAAAGCTGAAGGAAGAATAGAGATGTAATAAGTGTATGAAGAATGGATTATTTAAGACAAAGGCAATTAAAAGGATAGAAATAGGTAAACATTTATGTTTGGCATTATACTGGCATTTTGAAAGATTAGAGAGCAAGATGCCTATTTTTTACTAAACAAGATTATTCAGAAAGTAATAAAAATAAAAGCAAGCAAAAGGTAAATATAGCAACATGAGGTAAATAAAATAAAAATATTAAATGTCTTAGAAGACAAAGGTGCCATTTTTTCTTCTTTCTTTTTTCCAGTTAACAACTCAAATTCATTTAACATAGGAGCTAGGCAATACTTCTGAGATCTTTTTATTAGGGAAAAAAAATGCAGTTTCATTTTAAAGGAATTACTTAAAATCACTATCCAAGTCCATTTACCTAATACATTCAAAATCTTTAAGGAACAACTGCTCTTACTACAAAGAATGACATTTGCTATATGCTTCCAGGGGAAAAAGACAAGTAAGAAAAAAAAGAATGGAGAAGATAAATATGCAAACTATACAGGATAACAGATAAGGTGCTGTAAGTGGAAATAAAAGCAAAGGACCTGTGGGCATCAATCTCTAACCCAAAAATTAAAAAAAAAAAAAAAATCTTCACAATGAAGGTAACATGACTTTTCTTTTAAAGTCATGGTATTAGCTGAAATTAATTTCTTTTTGTTTTGTTTTGTTTTGTTTTTGGTACTGGGGATCAAATTGGGGTGCTTGTGATTGTGAGGCAGGTGGCGGAATCACTGAGCTAAATCGAGAGCCCTGAAATTAATTTCTTAAAATATATACTCACCTGCGACTTCAGTTTCTCCCTTTCAGTTGCATCTTTTAGCTGCTGAATTCCAAATTTAATTTTTTTAATTTCTTGATTAATTGTGGTTACTCTCTCAAAGACAGCACCTCTTTTCTCTTGAACTTTATTGCAGTCTCTACAGGAAAATAGAAATAGCTAACGAAATTCTTCCTAAGCATCTAAAAAGGTAAACAGTTCTAATTTCGATTCCAAAGTGACCTATGTGTCACAGTGTGTTAGACAAATCTAAAACTTATCTCAAGATATAAGAGGAAAGCAATGAAAACCCCAAAGTATGGTGCTATGATGACATCATGGCAAACAGTGAGCTCTTTCACCTAAGAGCTTTTCTTTAAAATGGACATTTTAAAGTTATATTTCTTCAGTTATGCACATTTATGCACTGTAGGTAGGATCATGAATCAGCACAACTTTCTTGTGTGATTTGATAATATAAAACCTATAAGCTTTGCTTTTTATCTTCATCTGCATGAGGGTACGCAAAGGAAACAGATAATCTCTCATAACCCTTTTAGGACTGAAGGAATGACACCTCAAGACACATCTATGGAACGTATTCTAAAAACCCACTTGTACCACTGAGATGGGAAAATTACCATGAAAATACCCTACAACATACTGGTTAAAAACAAAACAAAGTAAAATGAAACATAATCTCAATGCTTAGCAAATTATTGATTCTTGAATAAAAAAATAACACCTTTCCTCCAAACAGATGCTACTAATTTAAGAGAACAGCTGTATTCTATGACAGACCAACTGATTCACTCTAGTGCAATTCTGGGCCACTGTCTCTCAACTGGACTGAAACAAGCAGCACCATCAGAACCCTTTGAAAAAAATTATACAAATAAACTGGAATTATGGTCTAAAAAAGGAAAAAAAAAAATCTCAGTAAGTAAAATATCCCTAGATGTAGACAGAGAACGATAGGTATCAAAACTCATTTGTTTTTGTCACCTAAAGGTGGAATGCCTTGTTTGTTTGTTTTTTGGTACTAGGGATTGAACTCAGGACCTTGTGCTTACGAGGCAGGCAGCAGAACCACTGAGCTAAATCCTCAGCCCTGAAATGCCTTGTTGAGAGAATAGTACTTTAGAAATCCTGAGGGGAAAAATTATTAACTTTTCCTAATTGCATTCTAATACATCAAAATTCAAAATGAGTTCGTACTCAATTACTGTTCGTTTGTACTGCTTAATGTCCTCGAGCTTCTTATTTATTTTAAATTGTGCTGTGGCAAGTTTTTCCTTTTTCACAATCATTAGTCTTTTGAATGAATTTTCTTCAGTCTTTAATTTCTTCAGTTCTGACTCATCACTCTCAATTTGGTCCTCCAAATTCAGGCTCTGTATTTTATGAAAAGTCAATATAATTAGAATTATAAACAAGATGAAAGTTTGGGCTATAATAAAATACAATTTTGAAACAGGATACTATTATTTAATCCCCCAAAGTCGAGCCAAAAAATCTAGACTGTTCAAAGCAGATGACAGAAAGACACTAGGGGTACTGGAAAAACATGAACAAGTTCTATCGTGTTTTTCAGTCAGTAGGGATTAGAACAGAGAGATGTATTAAGATCAGCTAACAGGCTAGGGTTGATGGGAATAAGGTCTGAATTAAGATAGTAAAAATAAAGAGAAGAGAGTAGACCCTAGCAGGAAAGCAGGTCTCATTCTTTGGTGATTCCTGATAGCAGATAAAGTGACTATGTACTGGGAAGATTATAACTCTGGCAATCTTACCTTCTAATCACTACTTTTCTCTAAAAGAAATTTTTTTTAGTCAAATGTAACTAGCGAAGCTGAGGAAGGTCTGGATTAAATATAATTAAAAGGTAAAAAAGATTTATAAACTCTGAAAAACTCTTTATTACTTAAGGCAGAATCTGTCATAAACTTTAAATCTCTTTATGAATCCTAGGTACTCTGTTGGGCACTAAATTGAGATTTTATGCTTACTGATTATGTAAGATCACTTCCAACTGCTAAAACAAGTTTTAATAGCACTTACTATTTTCCAAAATATACATGGCAATGTGCTATGTTAGTTATTATTCATTGGATCTGAAGGCTAAAATTGGTTTTTTTATTACTATGTTTAAAAAGAAAAGTGTCTTATTTCTTAGCATATATTGGCTCATCTATTATACTGTAGAATAATCCTGTTTTTCTTTAGGAAAATAGTAACAAAAAAGTGAAAACAAATCCAAAGAACTATAGTAAGTAATTACATAATAAAGACATAAAAAATTCCACACAATACAAACCTCCTTTAAGATACTGGTTAATTTTTCCCTATTATCTGCAAGGTCCTGGATTTTCTTTTGATATAACTGCACCTCCTGCTGACAGGAAGGCAGGCAATCAACTGAGTCTCTATAGATTTCATACTTCTCCATCACTTCTTGCTTTAAAAGAAAAAAAAAATAGAGATCACAGTTTGATACTTTCCTTTATGAAATGGCAATAATGACAATTTGTTTGCTATTAAATAATTTCTGCATTTAAGACTGAAAACTTAAGAGCAGAGAACAATTAAGTTTTTAGGTCAGTAACAAAGGACTGCTACTGACATGTGTCTACTCACATATAATTATATTTTTTAATTGCCAGATATCCTTGAACAAGGAAAAGCTGCCATAATTTTACTAACTTACTCATTGGAATACTTTCTAAAGGTTATTCATGATGCTATTAAGAGTTCATTCTAATTCTCAAACTACTTCTGATCACTCCTAGACACTCATATTACCCACTTATAATCTTGTTCATTTGTATGACACCTATTACTATAACTAATTCTTTTAAAAAGATTAATTCCTCTTCTAAAATTACAAAATGAACATATATTTACAACTCTGCAAAAGTGCAAAGACTTCTCCCTTTGTCAGCACTAGCTCCACTCCTTGCCCTCTCTAATTAATCAGGTGGATTTTTCCTCAGTGAAAGACCTAATGCTATTATTGCTCACTTTTTTTTTGTTACTAATTTTTAAACACTCTTTGCATATAATGGATATAATCCCTTTATCTGTCATATGTACGATAAATCCTTTATGTTTTCTAATATGTGTACTTTTCTCTGTAGTTTGTGCGTTTCCAAACTTAATTTAAGGTCTTTCACAGTTCAAGTTTGTATAAATGTTCTTCTAAAATTCTTAACTTTAAATTTCCAAACAACGTATTTATTTCTGTAAATGGCACAAGGTATACAACCAACTCTTCTCGATGAGTAACTAATTTAACTAGAACTGTTTTTAAATAAACTGTCCATTTCCCATAACTACTCAAAAATATTTCTGGGCTGATTTCTGTCTTGATGAAGTTTTTCATCATTGTGACTGCTTTCTTTTTTTTTTTTTTTCCCTTCTTGTTCCAGTAGTGGAGATGGAACCAATGTCCTCACCAATAATAAGCAAGTAAGCTACCACGGAGCTACATCTCCAGCCCATTTTATTTTATTACATTGCAGTTTGAAACATAGTCCTACTAAGTTGCCTCATCTGTCCTATCTCAACTTTCTGAGTATCTGGGATTAAAAGCATATGCCAATATGCCTGGCAATTTTTGTTTGTTCTTACGCGATTATTTTATTTACCAGGAATGACCTAGACAAAAAACTCAGATGTAATTTAGAAAAATTATTCAACAATTTAAAAACATTGCCTCAAAAAGAATGCTAAACTGTCTACCACATTAAATTTTGTCCCACCTTCCTCAAATTACCTCCCACAATAACTCACGACTTTTAGTGTATTTTCCTATCCTTGATCTTACAGAATTAACATATGATGCATTTTGTCTTAAATTTTCTTCATGTATGATTCATTGGGATATCCTGATCATTTTTCAAATGTTAGCACAAATTTTCACTTTCCCCTTTCATCAGATTCCTCCAATACTAAATTAGACTCTCCCGTGACATTATTTCAAAGTTCCCTACACATAATCTTCCCTGTCTCTTTGGAGCTACTTTTAAAAATAAATTCATTTTTAAAGCACAGGAAAATTGATGAGAAGGTAAACAGATTTCTCAAATACCACCTGCTTCCAAATACTATCATATTATATTCTCTTTCACAATACATATTGTGATTATGTACAAAATTATTTAATATCTTCATTTCTTTTAATGAAGTAATTCAATCTCTTGAAGACAAAGCAGTTGTGCTTTTGGGACTAAGAGAAAAGCCCCAGAACTCTAACATAATTTAACTAATCTCTTGAAATTATAATTTTTTATCCCATATGCTAAAGAAGAGCTATACATTAGACAGGATCAAAAAATAAATGAACAACAACAACAAAAAACAAAAACAAACAAACAAACAAAGGGCCATGGATTTAGCTCAGCGGTTCGGTGGCCTGCCTTGCAAAGGCAAGGACCCAAGTTCAAACAATGGTACAAAACAAAAACAAAAACAACAACAACAAAAAAAATTAAATGAAGAGAAAGAGAAATATAGATAACCCAGAAGTCAGAAAATTACAAAATAACTAAACATGAATTTGCTTAAAAAAAAAAAAAAAAAGATAGAAAAAGCATTAAAATAAAAAGTAAACTCACCCTGGAGTTTTTAAGCTTCTGTACTGTGTCTTTCATTTTTTCCTTATAATTCTTTACCTTCTCTGGAGAATCTACAACTTTTGTCTTTAAACTTTCTTGTACTTCTTTCAAAGTAACAACTGACAACTTTAGTTCATTCTGTTGAAAAATATTTTTATATAATAGATAAGATAATAAAATGACTTAGCATTTCAATAACAGAAAATAACAAAGAAATTCACTCATATTTGCAGGAAGTGGGTGGAGGGGGAGATATGATACTCTGAGCACAACACACACATTTCTCTAAGGCCAAAGACGTTCAAGGCCTTAAGTGATTACAGTATTTCTGTTCTCAGTATACCTTCCTAGAATATCACATTGTCCTATTCCTGTCTGCAAGCTTAACTTCAAGGGATCCCTGAAAATCCTGCTTCTGTCTCCTCTACATTCTCTCCTTCCATTAACAGTACAATTATTGTACATACAATAATGTATTTATACATTTAATGTTTTTCCAAATAAATTGAACTACCTGAAGTTGTGAAGTTCCCCTTGTTCTTTGAGTAACCAAAGTAATAGCATTAAGAAGGTACTCAATGCTTGCTTGCTGAATCAAGTTTTTTTTTGTTCTTCTGAATTTCAAAAGTGAATGAAACCTATTAGATGAAAATGGCAAACACCTGAAAACATCAAAATGGGAAAGCAGTGTTCTGGACATGACCCAAAAAGCACAGAAAATAAAAGGGGAAATAAGATAAAAGACTGGGAGAAAATATATGCAAACTATGCATCTGGCAAAGGGTTAATATCCAGAAACAGAAGGATCTCCAAAAGCTCAATCAAAAGTGAATGAAACCTATTAGATGAAAATGGCAAACACCTGAAAACATCAAAATGGGAAAGCAGTGTTCTGGACATGACCCAAAAAGCACAGAAAATAAAAGGGGAAATAAGATAAAAGACTGGGAGAAAATATATGCAAACTATGCATCTGGCAAAGGGTTAATATCCAGAAACAGAAGGATCTCCAAAAGCTCAAAAGATCACTTCAGTGAGAAAACCAACTGTCAGAAAGAGAAAAGATAAATGCAAGGGGGAATGTGGAGGAAAGGGAACCATTGTACATCGTTGCTGAATATAAAGTGGTACAGCCACTATTGACAGCAGTATGTGTGTTTCTCAAAAAATTAAAAATAGGACTGCCATATGATCCAGCAGTCTGACTATTGGGTACATATCCAAAGGAAATAGAATTCTGAAAGAGCATTTCAATGCTCATGTTTATTGCAACTTTATGCACAAGAGCCAAGAAATGGAAATAATCTAAATGGCCATCAACTGTTGAATGGATAAGAAAATGGAACATATATACAATGGAATACTATTAAACAATAAAAAAGAATGAAATCCTGTTATTTGTGAAAACATGGACAGAAATAAAGATTATTACGTTAAATGAAATAAGCTAGGCCTAGAAAAATATTGGATGATCTAATTCATGTGGAATATAAAATGTCAATCTCACAGAGTTTTAGAGTAGAATGGTCGTTACCAGAGGCTGTGGAAAGAAGGGAAAAGAGGAACAGGAAAAGGCTGATCAATGTATCCTATAGTTAGGAGCAAAAAGGTCTGGAGTCCTATTGCACAGCAGGCTAACTATATATAAAAATTAGGTACTATATATTTCAAAAAGTTAGGAGGCTCCTGAATTTTCACCATGAACAAATGATATATGTTTTAGAAAGATCTAACCTAATTTACACAATGTACAATGTATATTTGTATCAAAACATTCATAGTACCCCAGTAAAATGTCAGCACTCTGCCTAACCTGCTACAAGGCTTCAGAGGAAAGAAATGTCCAGTGGAATCTGTGTAACGACTGGTAAAGGCCAAATGTACGGGGAACTGGGAGCAGCCTCCTGTTGTCTCTGAGGGTGCCACAAACTGGAGAGCTGCATAGACACAAACAGGATAAGGAGACATGGGCAGGCCCCATGGGACATAAGGAAACTTCTTGGTTGGGGACTGGCCCCAGCCTCCACATCTGGAGGACAAGATCAGCCCAGCATTAATCCTACTGCAGACTTGGTGGGGTTACCTAGCACAGTTTTGGGCTCTGATTTGGAAACAAGTGAACATTGCAATGGGGGAGTCTAGTTTTTCTGGTTTGCTTCAATGTTCTTTTGCTTTCTCCTTCATTCTTTCTCTCTTTTCCTCTTCTCCTGTTTCCCAAAGCTTGAGTGATCATCCTTTACCCTTCAACCTTGCTTTTATTATATTTCTCTTCATTTATCTATTTTTGTTCGCTATCCTTCTTAATCCCCTGAGCTAAATCCTTGACTCCCAATATCAGTCAATGAAATTGAAGATGTAATTAAAAATATCAAAACAAAGAAAAGCCCAAGTCCTGATGGATTCACTGTTGAATTCTACAGGAAATTTAGAGAAGATCTAATGCCAGTAGTCTTCAAATTCTTTAATGAAATTGAAAGGGAAACAATACTCTCAAAGTCATTCCTGAAAGCAAGTATTACTCTGATATAAAAACCAGAAGAAGATCTAACCAAAAATGAGGACTAGAGGCCAATCTCCCGTATGGAAATAGAAGCAAGAATCCTCAATAAGATACTGGCAAACAGAATGCAGAAAATCATTAAGATTATACACAATGAACAAGTAGGATTCATACCAGGGATGCAGGGATGGTTCAACAAATGTAAAATAGCTGGGCTCATCATGGCAGTGGTGGCAACTCAACCAGTATGGAATCTTCTCAGGGAGACCTACTTAATTGAGGGAAGGCTCCCTCCACCACTTCACAGCCAAGGTACTTGAAAACACTGGCCTATATTTTAAAATTAAAGGTCACAGTGATTAAAAACAAGGTGGTAAAGACATTTGGGGCTGAGCGACTGCTGCGAGGCCATTTAGTATGAACAAAGTGGCACCAAAAAGGGCGAAGCACTGTGTAATACATGTAGTACACCATATTAACAGAGACAAGGTCAAAAAAATTCCATGGTCATCTCAGTAGATGTAGAAAAAGCATTTAACAAAGTCCAATTCATGATAAAAACTAAAAAATCAGAATAGATGGTCTTTATCTCAATCTGATAAAAGCCACGTCAAACCAACAGTCAATATCATAGTAAATGGTCAAAAATTGACCACTCTAGTTCCATTTGACCCAGCCATCCCTCTGCTGGGTATCTTTCCAAAAGAATTAAAGAATCTTATCACAGAGATATATGCGCACCTATGTTTATAAGCAGCACAATTTGTAATAGCTAAAACTTGGAAACAGCACATTTGCCCATCAGTTGGAAACTGGATAAAGATGTGGTTTTTCTATAAAATGGAATATTACTCAGCCATAAAGAATGAGAAATTAAGATTCATTTGTAGGAAAATGGATACATATTGAGGATATACTCCTAAGTGAAATAAATAAGTCACACATGTATAGATACCGAATACTTTCTCTGGTGTGAATAAACTATAATAGTACATATAAGATCCTAATGATATAATGGACAATGTGAAATAGGAAGAAAGGGGTTAAAGGTGTAGGGAAAGTAGGAAGGGTAGGGGAAAGCCAATAAAGGAAAAGAAGAAAATATGAGAAAATGAAAAAATGGAAATGAAGTGTTTGTAAAGGGGGCGAGGAGGAAGGGTGAAGGGAGGGCAAGGACAAGGGGAAAAAAATGAGAACCAAGACCTGTCATGTAAAGGTACAAGATCCCAATAATGAATGTGACTGTACTGTATACCTAAAATATACCAATAAACTCAATGAGGAAAAAAAAAATTGACCATTCTAAAGCCAGGAATAAGAGAAGAATGTCCACTATCATCATTCCTATTCAATGCATTTCTAGAAACATTAGGGGAAGCAATTAGAAAAGAGAAAAACATAAGAATAGGAAAGGAAGACGTTAAACCATCATTGTTTGTAGATGACGTGATACTCTACATGGAAAACCAAAAAACTCCACCAAAAGACTTTTAGATTTAATAATCAAATTCAGTCATGTAGCTGGATACAAAGTCAACACTCAAAAATCAGTAGTATTCCTAAACACAAATAACAAACGTACTGAGAGAGAAATTAGGGAAACTATGACTTTCACAATAACATTAAAAACAAAAATACTTAGGAATCAAACTAACAAAGTAAAAGATCTTTACATTGAAAACTATGGTACTCTGAAAAAAGACATTGAAGAGAATACCAGAAAATCCCTTCTTCTTGGGTAGGAAAACCCAATATAGTAAAAATGGCCATACTCCCAAAACTGTTATACAGATTTAATGCAATCCCAACAGCATACCTCACAGAACTACAGAAAACATTCCTAAAATTCATTTGGAACCAGAAGACACCCAGAACAAAAATAATTCTGGGCAACAAAACCAAGTCAGAGAACAGAATCCTTGACTTGATATTATACTACAGAGCTACTGTGATAAAAACAGCATGATACTGGCCAAAATGCAGACTGAGGATCACTGGAACAGATTAAAAGATGCAGAAACAACTCTAAACACACTCAGCCACCTTATCTTTGACAAGAGGCCAAATACCTTCACTGGAAGAAAGACAGCCTCTTCAATAAATGATGCCGGCAAAACTGGCTTTCAATAAGCCAACGACTAAAACTAGATCCATATCTCTCACTATGTGCTAAACTAAAATTGAAACAAAAAACAAACAACCCAAATTTAAAGACCCAATCCAAAAATGGACATTTGAAATAAGCACACATTTCTCAGATGAAGTACAAATGGCAAATAAGTATATGAAAAAGGCTCAACATCACTGGTCATTTGACATGTAAATTAAAACAACACTAAGATTCCATTTGACTATAAAGAGAAAGGCTATTGTCAAGAAATCAATCAATAACAAATGCTGGTGATGATGCGGAAGAAAAGGAATCCTTTTACACTACTGGTGGGAGTGTAGACTGGTATAACCACTGTGGAAATCATCAGTGTGGAGATTTCTTTTTTTGGAACTGGGGCCCGACCTTGGGACCTTGCACTTGTGAGGCAGGCAGTAGCACCACTGAGCTAAATTCCTGGCCCATTGTGGAAATTTCTCAAAAAACTAAGAGTAAAGGTTCCATTTGACCCAGCTATACCTCTTCTTGGATCTTCTGGAAAGAATTAAAACCATCATACCACAGTGATATATGCACACCCATGTGTATAGCAGCAAAGTTTGTAATAGTTAAATCTTTGAAACAGCCCAAATGCCCATCAACTGATGACTGGATAAAGAAGCCTTTTTTTTTTTTTTTAAATATAATGAAGTACTCAGCCACAAAGAAGGATAAACTTGAGACATTTTCAGGTAAATGGATGCACCAAGACCACAATTTAAAGAGAAATCAGACATACATGTGTAAATATGGCATTATTCTCTGGGGGAGAAACTGAAAGTGTAAATAAGGACCAAAATATAAAAATATAGACTGTGAAATAGGAAGACTGTGTTTAAATGGACGGAGGCACTAGGGAGAGGTAAAGGGAGGAAGGGAAAAGAAAAAAATGAGAAAAGAAAGATAAAATGGAAACAAAACTTTCGTAAATAAGGGAAGAAGGGTTGAAGGGAAGAGAGGGGAATGAGAAAAAAAATAAGATTAAAGATATACCAAGTACACATACAAATTCCCTACGATGAATGTGATCATTATGCATATTTAAATTGTAACAATAAACTTAATTAATTAAAAAAACTAAGTGATAAGGAATTCTCTTAAAATCTTGCTGCAGGTTTGAAATCATATTTAAAAAAATTCACGTCTCCTTCCCAAATACTTGTTGATATATTATGTTTACATTGTTTATGGAAATATCACTCTATACACTAACATGGAAGATTTCTTTCTTTCTTTTTTTTTTTTTGGTACCGGGGATGGAACTGGGGTCCTTGCGCTTGCGAGGCAGGCCCGAACCGCTGAGCTAAATCCCCAGCCCTTCATGGAAGATTTCTTAGAAATATTCAGTAAAATAATCAATTCACAGATCAATATAAAATGCAAGTACATTTGTATAAAAACAACACGAATATAGTTTTACAAAAATACATCAAAACAGTGTCACACAATTATGTGCATTGTATATGTGCACAAAATGTTATAGAAAAAGGAGAAGAATGTCACTTTGAAGTAAAGTGGTTGAGACAAGAAGCCTTTTATATACATTTGATGGCTTTCTATGCCTCTGTTTGCGTGTACATGATTTATTTTATAACAGATTATTGCATGGCTTGTATAATTTGACTAAACTTTTTAACTTAATGTTACCTACTCTCTTTTAATATTCTATAAAATTAGAGGTCATTTTCCATATATAGACTTTCATATTTCTTTCTTTCATAAAAAGCCTAAACTTGATATCAGACATTTTTAAAATCCAGTCTTAAATAGAACAGAAAGAAATGAATAATAAAATTGATTCATAGTGAGTACTACTCATATGAAAGCATTTGCCAGTAAAAGGAATGAAAGAAAAATTAGGGACCACTAATACATAAGTAAATTTCAGACAGATACAAAGTTCAATTTTAAAATTAAAGAGAAATGAGCAATATAAAAAAATAAATAATCTCATTAATAGGACAGGCCTTTCTCTGATTAAAATTAAATCCAAAACCAATAAAGGCTATATCTATAAATTTTAATATGTAAAATACAAACATCTAATTATGAACTTGAAAGGCAAATGGAGGGCTAATATCCCTAACTCATAGAATTTCTTTAAAAATAAATATAATAAAGAAGATACACAAACAGCTCATAAAATTAGAAATAATAAATCACTAAGATAGTAAAATTTACCAGAATTCAAGGAATCAAATTAAAATGAGGCACTTTTTTTTTTCAATAAAAGTAACTAAAACAACACAAATCTAAAAACATTTAATTTTAGCAAGGGTGTCATGAATAGGGCACTCTCAATCTATTGGTAGAATACAAATTGGTATTTTTCTCAGTTTGGCAACATGGGTCAATTTCACGTGTTTTTCTTTTGATCTCATAATCTTGAATTTAGAAATTTACTCTATGATAAAAGGGAGAACTGATGAATAGAGGTATATGGCATACACATATGTATATATTAATATATATTAAAACAGAAAATTTAAAGTTTGTTCATGTGCATATATATATTAATAAATATGTATTTATATATATTTATTAAAATAGCAAAGAATGAAAAGTAATACGAAAGTCAACAGGGGACCAAAAGGATCTACATTATAGTACATACATACATACATACATACAATGCCCAAACATGTACAGCCATAAAGATCTATTTGAAACTCCTATTTATGGTGATACTGTTTTACAATTGAGACATATTGAGTATAATATCAGTTACATAAAATTACACAAATATATGTATATTAAAGATGCAATCTATGATATAGTCTGTCAAAACATTAGGCATATTCCAGGAAGAGAAAAATTTGTATACATATTTTAATAGTAGATTTATTGAGATATCATGAAAATCCTAATGTGTAAGTGGACAAAGCAGTCAATTTACGAGAACTCAATGTCTGGTGTGTATTATACTATTTATACAAGTTTCTCTTTTCCTGAAGTGTGTAAACATTTTTTTTGGTGGACTGTATATATCAGATTGTATGGTTAGCTTTCAGGTAATTTTTATTTTCTCTCCATATTTGTTTTGATGTTTTAAAAAAACTGTGATATACTTAAACTGAAAAAAATTAAGACAGTTTGATTTTGAAGGAAAAAAGATTTGACTACCTTAACACACAGCTAAAATATTCCTCCCTCGGTACAGTTCAACTTTCAATGCTAATTAATAGCAAAGATCCTTACCAAACGCTTAGTTTTCTCTGAAATATCTGATTTCTTTTGGGAATTTCCTTCTTGCAGGACTATCTAAAGAAAAAGTAAACAAATGTTTATAATAATTCAAAATTTAGACACTCACTGCTTTCTCATAAAATAAAGGTAAGAAGAGTTAAGTGAATTAGACTTGATAATCTCAAACTGTTCATGATGCCCCAGGCCAAAATAAATACATAAGCATTCCTTTATTAAGTAGTTAAACCCAAACAACTGCATAAATTCCACCCTAATTATATTATAACCTTTGATAAAATAATATATATATAAAATAAAAGAAAAAAGTTTTAGTGAATTGCTAAACAATCACAACTATTTACTAATTAGATGTGCACCTACTGGGTGTTTCATAAATTCACATACCTTGTAATCGGATAGGACACAGAAATTCTCATTTCCTCTTTTAATGATTTTCACATAATACTTGCTTTTTACCATGGCAAATGCCAAGGCCTCAGCGCCACAAAGATACAAAGGGAAAGTATAATGATCTAACATTAAAATTGTGAACTACCTTGTGTTAATGGTTCAGGAAGTACGTATATAACAGAGGCTGAGATTATTATTTCTTTGAATTTTAAAATATCATGAGGCACCTCTGAAGGTCTGCTGTGGTATCTAGGGCAATGTGGAGCACAGAACCCTGAAAAGGTCTGCACATAAGTTTGGCAACAAAAACCAACCATCATAATTGTACATGGTTGGTTGAGAGGAGATATATTCAAGAGGTTATATTCCTACAAGGGCATAAATAGGTATAATTTTTAAAAAATAACTAAAAGATATATGATCTTATGTCTATTACATGCCCCTATATAGTTGCAATATTACTTTAAATTTTAAAATGTTTTATGACAGACACCGTTTTTTGACGAAACTCCTGATTCAGTGATTGCTGCAGCTCCTGAATATCATCTGTAAGTTGCTTGAACTCTTCTTGCTCTTCAACGGGAACAGAGCTAAACACAGTACAATTGATTAAAATAACATTTATCTTATTCTTAACCTCAAAAGGCCAAAATAAAATCTCTACCATCAAATAACTTTGATGACCACTTACTTTATTTCTAAATTATATACCTTGGTATGAAGGCCATTTAAAGTAGATAACTAGGCCTCTACGAAAGAAAATAAAATTCAGTTAAGCTCCTTCAATTTTTTGAACACTTTTCCTTTTGAACACTTGCTTTCCATTTCCCAATATCCATTATACACCTGTCTTCAATTTCTCACACCAGAGATATTTAAAAATGTGTGTCCAATTTATTTCACTTAAGAGTATGATCTCAAGATCCATCTATTTAGTTATAAATGTATGATGATCTTCCTTCTTCAAGCCAGAGCAGTACTCCATTGTATAAAAAAACTACATCTTTATCCAGTCATCAGTTGATGGGCATTTAGACTGTTTCTATGATTTAGCTATTACAAACTGTGCTGCTATAAACATGGGTGTGCATATATCTCTGTGGTATGATGCTTTTCTTTTAGGATGATACCAAGAAAAGAAATAGCTGAATCAAATGGAACCTCTAGTTTTAGTTTTCTGAGAATTCTCCACAGTGGTTGTACCAATCTACACTCCCACCAGGAGTGAAGGGTTGCTTTTTTCCTATATCCCTTCTTCCCTTTATTATTGGTTGACTTCTTAATAGCAACCATTCTTTCTGGAGTGATATGGAATCTCAGTATTGTTTTAATTTCATCTCTTGAATGGCCAGTGATGTTGAACATTTTTTCATATATTTATTTTCATATATTATTTATTTTTCACATATTTATTTTATATATTTTTTCATATATTTATTTTTCTAATTCTTCATCTGAGAAGTGTCTTTTTATTTGATATGCCAATTTTTGAATTGAGTTTTCAAATTTAGGGGGTCTGATTTTTTGAGTTCTTTATATATTCTAGATATTCTTTTACTTGAATAGCTGGTAAAAATTTTTCTCACTCTGTGGGTTGTCTCTATTCTGTTGGTGGTTTCTTTTGCTGTGTAAAAGCTTTTTAATAAGATGAGGTGCACATTGTTGATTTTTTTATAGTATTTGCTGTGTGGTCTGGGTTTTGTTCATGAAGTCATTGCCTACTCCTATGTCCTCAAGCATTTTACTTATTCTCTTTTCCAGAAGACTTAGTGTTTCTGTTTTAATACTTAGATTTTTGATCCATTTCAATTTTAGGTTAATGCATGGTAAAAGATATGGGTCTAATTTCAATTTTTGGCATGTGGAAAGCCAGTTTTTCCAGCACCATTTATTAAAGAAGCTATCTTTCTTCCAGTGAAAGTATTTGGCTCCTTAATTTTCAACCATCAAAATTCAGCCCTGCACATCCCTACACTAACTTCACTTCAAAGAAAATGAAAATAGCATTCCTTCTCCCGTTTAAGGTTAATTTTGCTGGTTCTCAGTTTTTACTAAAGTATCATCTAGTCTTCTGTTCTACTGGTCCTTCTTAATGGCATGCACACGTTTAGTATGAATTTCTTTAAGATGAATGTTTTAAGTTTAGTTTTTGCCTATCGAACACATTAGACATCTGCTTTTATTGTTTTATAAATTCTACTTTTAGTCTTTGCCCATATTTCTAATAAGTTATCTCTTTTCCTCTTAAGTTGTAGGAATTCTTTGTATACTAGGAATACTTCATGGATATTATTAAGATTTGGTAATACTGTACACCACATATGCTGCAAATATATATCTCCAAGCTTGTCACTTTTGACCTGGTTTATAATAGTATCTTTTATTATGCTAACTTTTTTTTTCAACTTTTTGATGACTGCAAAAGCAATTTTTATCAGAGACAATACAGAAAAGCTCTCACTTGCAAGACACAGCCTTAAAGACATCAACAAATCGTTCTATTCAAAAATAAGTAGTGATAATCTTTGATTTAAGATGGTTCCACTTAATGATTTTTCAACTTTACAGTACTGAAAGAACAATAGTCATTCAGTAAAAACTGTACTTCAAATTTTCAACTCTGATTTTTTAAGGCTAGTGACAGGTAGTGACACTGGGCATCTAGCTACAGCTCACAATAAGCCTTCGTGAAGATAAACAACTTTTCTCTACAGTACAGTGTGTGGCTAAGCTGTGTTGCTCAGCAGGTTACATGTATTAAATGTTCTCAACTGAACAATATTCTCAACTTAAGATGGATTCATCAGGACACAACTCCATTGTAACTTAAGGAGCTTCTATATATTTATACAAGTCCAAGAAATCATAATACTTGAATGATTCTCTCCCCTATATAGCCTTTGAGTCCAAAAAAAAAAAAAAAAACACTGTTGGGAAGAGAAAACATTTTTAATAAGATTAACTGATCTGAAGGAACAAAGTTCAGAGAGTTGTTGCTAATCTAAATAAGATAAATACTGCAGATGTAATTTTGGCAACTAAGTTGATGACTCTAAACAAATCAGGTTAACCAAGTACTGAGAATGAAGCCAAATATCATATAATTAAGAGATAGATAGAAGATAAACTTATTTTTCACCTTTTAGAAAAGACAAACAGATATTATGCTGAAGGAACAAAGTTCAGAGAGTTGTTGCTAATCTAAATAAGATAAATACTGCAGATGTAATTTTGGCAACTAAGTTGATGACTTCAAACAAATCAGGTTAACCAAGTACTGAGAATGAAGCCAAATATCATATAATTAAGAGATAGATAGAAGATAAACTTATTTTTCACCTTTTAGAAAAGACAAACAGATATTATGCCATGTATTAAGGAAAATTAAGAAACAAAGCGGATTACAGGGTTCTGCTAACATTTCACTCAGCATTTTAAAATTGCATTTATTTATAAATTCCCCACTTACTCAAGTCTCTCCAATTTCATTAATGCCTCCTGGTGTGCAGTGTTTAGCTGCTGCATTTTGTCCACAGAGGATTTCTATTAAAGCAATTTTAATAATCTCACATTAGCACTTTTCAACATGAACAGGAATGAATTTGTTTTACAAATAGCACAGACCACAATGCTTCCTTGTTCTACAATTTTCATCATCAGAAGTAAGAAATTTAAGTAGAGGTTACATTTGAGTTAAGAATTTCTTTACTTAATACAATCACTCTAGTAGGTTTTGGGAGTTTCCAAAAGGGCTAAATTATAGTTTCTGAACTTCAGTAGTTCTATCTCTTTGAACTGTGAGATATGAATAAAAACAACTACAAAATAACTTGTCATGGTATGGATAATAATGGGATCAAAAACCAACTGGAGTAAAAGCTAGGGAGGACAATCACAGAGGGCTTCATAGAGACGATGGATGTCTAAGAAATATCTTAAAAGAAAGAGGAGTCATTAGGCAGACAACTGTGTGTGTGTATGTATACTGACACAAGTATGTGTAACCTGTACAAAAGAGTTTGTGAGGTGTAGGAAGTATAAATTCAGCACGATTTGTGTAAAGAAGGACATAATGCATCTCAGTGCAGCTGGAGCTTCAGGTCTGTCTGTTATTGGGTTCTAAGAGTACAGCATGCAAAAACAAGGACAATTGGAAACAAATTGCACAAATGACCCATAATCTTTCCAAATTCTCTAAATTGAAGGAAGAAAAACAAGTTTCTATTTGTTAAAGCGATTGCTTTGTACTGCATCATATAATGCAATACAGGGAAAAAAATGATAATATAAACAGTGTGATTAGGCCATTAATTAAAAGGCAAATACAAATCTCAAATATCTCAGTTATTTAAAGAACATTACACTCTCTATGCAACCCTCATAGAAAAAAATGTAAATATTGATATTAATGTTTCTCTTCTGTAACATTCCCTAATATAGAAAAAGAAGCTTCAGCTATAATATTAAAACAAAAACCCAGTCCCTTGGTGTTAGCAAGAAAATATCCTTTTGAATACAGTGGTACATTGGTTCACAAACTTAATTCTTTCCACACTTATGGTTGCAAACCAAATTGAACAAGAACTGAATCAAATTCAATGGTTAGGTTCAATGCTGATCTTATGGGGAAATTTAATTTGGTTCTTACCCAATTCAGTTTGCAACCAAAAGTTTGGAAAAAATTAAGTTCATGAACCAAGGTACCAATATATGGATTTTAGGGGCTACAATCTAAAACTTTATATGAATATAAAAATAATTTTAATTATAAGGACCATGCAGCAATTTAATAGCTTACAAATGATGCTAATGATTTGGTGTGTGACCCATGTACATATTTAAATCTTACATATTGCCAAAGAAATTCCATATATGTCTCACGGCATGCTTCTCTGAAGTGAATAAAGTTAATGATTCCACTTAAAAATCGACTTGTCCGTTTCGCTTCTAAAATAGAAAGAAGACTGAATTAAATCTTAAAACAAGGTAATATAAAAATGAGAAGCCATCATCTCCCATCATATTACTTTGTTCATGTTATATAAAACTCTATACACTATAACAAAGCCTATAATATCTATTTTAACTTAATGATGAAGATTATCCTTGTATTAATAACAAACAAAAACCAGAAAACTTTTGGACACAATAGCAAGGACCAGTTTGACCCTCTCATCTTAAACAACTAGAAAAACAGACAAAATATGGGTTGCAAGAAACTTTCAATAGTCAATATGACAGCAATTTCCAAAGGAATCAAAAGAGAGAACCCTGTCAATATTCCTCCTCACAACTTGGAGAGTTTTCAGGTTGTTGACTAGATAGGGAGAGCACTACCAAAATTCATAGCTCTTGTTGAGTTTAGTAGATACAGTTTAGAGTTGAGAGAGGTCAAAAAAAAATTAAAATTTATGAGCCTGACCACTTCAGAGAAGCAAGTCATAAGGAATAAAAATTCTGGAGGTCTGTAAAGGAGTCCACCTAAGTTCTCCTCTGATCAGTATACGAGTATGAAGAAAGTACTAATGATATAAAAATAACTAGAAATATTGAAAATAATGAAAAACCCAGCACACAATAGTGTAAAATTTACAGCATCTGACACCCTACAAAAATGACCAAATGTGCAAAGAAACAGGATAATATGCCTAACAAGAAAAAAATCAATAGAAATATACCCAGAAATAACAGATGGTAGATTTAGTAGCATGTAAAAACAGCCATTATGAATATTAACAGCCCCCCCCACAGCGTGATTCCCATCCAACTGAGAAAGAAAAACCCCAACAGACGCACACTGCCTGAAAGAAGAGTGATGGCCAGAAGCCAGCTACCGCCTCACTCATTCATACCTGCAAGGAGACTGATTCTCCAAGACACCACATGGTAACCGCCGTACTTTGCTATATCTGCTATCACCCCGCTACCCTCACCCCGTCCTGTTCATCAGTCTCAAGCCTATTACCCAAGAGACCCCAAAAATTTTCACCCTCCAAGCTGCCCCCTCCCCTCCTTCAACTGCCCTATATAAACTGCATGTGCACTCCTTCTTATACCAGCGGTCCTATCGCCCTCGGCTGACGTGCACCCAGGACACAATAAACTCTTCTCCTCATTCTTTAATTTTGCTGGCCTCGGTGGTCTCATTCAGTGCTCTGGTCAAATCTTACAAATATATTTTAGTTGTTCAAGAAGGTAAAGAAAAACATCAGGATTGTGAGAACAAAAGGAAAGGTTATATTGTTGTTGTTGTTGTTAAAGATCTGAATCAAACTTTTAGAGTTAAAAAATATCTGAAACAAATACTACACTACCTGAGATTAACACAGTTTGGACATAGAGAAGAAAGAATTAATGAAATCTAAGACAGTAACAGAAGCTATCTAAAATAAAGGCCAGAATGAAAAAACAATTGAATGAAATATCTATGACAGAGAGACAAAACAAGTAACATGGGAAAGTGTGTAAGTGGAGTTCTGCTAAAAGGAGGGACAGAATTAAACTTTTCCAGAATTGCAGGAATTGTTTAAATTTTATAAAATATATAAATATATCCAAGAGAATGAACAACAAATCTTAGCAGGAAAAACAAAACCAAGCAACACGCCCAGAAGCCCCCCTCCCCAAAGCACACGAGATTCAAATTACTGAAAACTTGTAATAAAGAGAAAAACCTTAAAAGCAGCCAGCACAAAACAAAGCAAATCCACATTATATGGAACAAAGATGAGACCTTCTCATCAGAAACAATGCAAGCCAAGAGACAACAGAACAATATCTTTAAAACACTGAAAATACTACCAACTTAGATTCCACACTCAAGAAAAATATATGCCGAAAGTGAAGATGAAACAAAGGCTTTTTCCAACTCTACAAGAAATAGTAAATGAAATCCTTCAAGTGTGAAGAAAATTATACCAGATAGGGATTGAGCATACTTAATAGAATGTAGGCTAATGTAAAAGATATTTTTTCATCTGAAAAATTTCTTTAAAAGATAATGAATTGTTTGCAGCAAATCTAATAACCGTATATCAAAGTATGTATGATATTTATAGAAGTAAAACTTATAGCACAATAACACAAAGACCAGGAGTGGGTAAAACATTCTTTTGTAAAATAAAATGTAAGTGAAGACAGATAATGACCACAGAGCAAATATTAAAAACAAATAAAATATATTGCATTACACCAAAGTAAAGAAAGAAATAAGAAAAATAGGAATAAAAGGACAAGGAGAATATAAAAAGAACAGAGGTAAACTGAAAATCAATCACATTAATAAATGTAAATACACTAAACACTCCAATTAAAAGGGAGAGGATAAATTTAAAAAACAAGATAAAACTATATGCTGTTAATAACAAAGACAGAGATAAGTTTAAAGAAAAGTATGATACAAAAGAATGATGTAAAAATATGCAATACAAATCAAAAGAAAGTTGGAGTGGCTATAATATCAAATAAAATATACTTCACAGCAGAGAATATGTAATGCAAAGAATATAATTCTAAATGTATAGGCTTCCAAAACTAGAGTCTCAGGCACAAGACAAAAACAAAAAAGACATAAAAGGCAAAACAGACAAATGTTCAATCATAGCTAGAGATTACATCTATTAATAGTTCAATAGAGTAATCAGAAGAAAATCTCTAGGGATCTAAAAGGCTTGAGCACTATTAACCAACTGGATCAAAACGTTTCAAAGACCCCACCCAAAGACAGAATACACACTTTCCAGTGCACATGCACCATTAACAAAGACAGCATGTTGTATGCTGTATAAAACCACCCAGATATTCAGATTCTAAATCTTAGAACCTGTGCATGTCATCATTTATAGAAAAGTGGCTTCAGGATCATGCAGATAAAATTAAAGATCCTGACTTGGGGATATGATATCTTGGATTTTCCAGGTGGGCTCTAAGTAATCATAAGTATCCTTATAAGAGGAAAGCAGGAGATGTCACTACAGATAGAAGGTGGAAAACAATGCCATAATGGAAGCAGAGATTTAAAGATACTACGTGACAGGTTTAGAAGACAGAAGAAGGGAGCCAGCCATGAGCCAAGGTGTGCAAAGAATGTGGCTCTGTAAGATAGAGAAGGCAAGGAAATGGCTTCTCAAGAACCTCTTGAGAAAGTACTCTCTTAACAACACCTTAAGATTTAGCTCAGTGCAAACAACTCTGAATCAAAAAGGAATAAATAAATGTGTGTTATCTTAAGCCACCACGTTTGTGGTACTTTATTATAGTCATCATAGTAAAGAAATACATATCATATTTTGAGCTATAAAGTAAGTCAGAATAAATTTTAATGAACATAAATAATACAAAGTATATTCTCTGGTCATAAAGGAACTAAATTATAATCAGTAATAGAAACACTGCTGGAAAATCTCCAGAAGTTTTGGAAAGTAGATAATACAGTTTTTTTTGGTTTTTTTTTTGGGGGGGGTACCGGGGATTGAACTTGGGTCCTTGCGCTTGCAAGGCAGGCCACCAAACCGCTGAGCTAAATGTCTGGCCCCTTGATAATACAGTTTTAACCTGATAGTAAAGAGGAAATAAAGAGGAAAATTAGGAAATAATTTGAACTGATGAAATGAAAATGCAGTCTATAAGGTTTATAGGATGCAAATCCTTACTTAGAAAAGTAGAGTTTCAAATTATTGGCCTCAGTATATACTCAAAAACAAAAAACAAAATAACAAACAAAAAACCCAGGGAAAGAAAATAAAAAATAAAACCTAAAGGAAACATGAGGAAAGAATCCCAGAATGTTCACAGCATCTTTGTTCATAATTCAAATATCCATTGTTGATCAATGGATAAAAACTATGCTGTACACTTATAAGAGAATATTCCAAAGTAAAAAGAAACAAAGTACTAATACAGGCAACAAATGTAGACAAGTTTCAAAAGCATTATGCTTAAAGTAGCCAGACACAAAAAAAGTACAAACTGTATTTCGTTGATATGAAACTGCAGAAAAGACAAAATTATAATGATGTCAGTGGTTGCCAGGAATGGGGATGATCAAAGGAGACTGACTACAAAGGGACAGGAAGGAATTTTTTAAGGAGGTGCTTACCCAGCTATACACATTTGTTAAAAATCACCCAACTTACATTTAAAATTGGTTGATTTTATTGTACGTAAATTATATGTCAACAAATAAGACAGAAGCAAGATACCCAAAGGCAGATTAAAAACCAAATTTTCAAATAAAACACCAACTCTCTCAGAACAAAACAACTTCAAGGATAAATATTAGGAGTCAGGGCTGGGGATTTAGCTCAGTGGTTCGGCTGCCAAGGACCCAAGTTCAATCCCTGGTACAAAACAAAAACTAAAACAAAAACAAAAACAAAAAAACCAAAAATATTAAGAGTCAAATGGGTTAAGGGACATGTAAGTAAAGGTAGTAGAATTTTACATTGTAATATAATACCTGTCATTAGTGGTAAAACATAATTTCTTTATGGCAAAAAGTAATTGTTAATTTGCTAAAGTTGTATTATTAATTCACTAAGCAACATCACATCTGTATATTATTTGTATTCCCAAATTTTAAAAAATATTTTCTAAATTTAAGAAAAATTAACTATTCTGTGGATCTACAAAGGAAAATCATTCCAGTAATAAGATATATGAAAATTCATTAAGGATGAGACATGTTCTAAAACCCATTTCAAGTTTTTTTTTAATATTTATCAATGGAAAAATAAACTGGTAGGTTGAATCTAGAACTTAAAAGTTGTTTTAAATTCTCACTTACTTGGATATAGAATATCAGCAATCTCAAAGTCATTCACCCGGCAGATGGGCAGGAATGAATCTCTAGAATATAAATATTGAAAAGTATATTTCAAATTATACACAAAGCCACAGGAATATAAACATTTCATTTTCAAATAGTTTTTTGGGTATATATATCAGTATTAAAGGACAAAGTCAGAAGTCTACTACAAAGTATAATCATATCATTAAAATTTATTTTTTCTGTATATTACGTAAGTATTCATGAAATACTAAGATACAGTAATAGATTTTAAGAAATAACATACTCTTGAAAGAATTAAGACTAAGAACTCAAAATCCTACACAAAGCTAGTAAACAATTTTAGATTTACACCATCTTCTACTGTCAAAGTTTCCTGTGTCCTAACAATTGCCAGTTAGAGGCAATACTGTTTGGTAGAACCTACAATTTTGAATATATGTGGGATGGAGTAGAGAGTAAGATGATAGAACTCCTTCCCAAAGAAAATCATATCATTAAAGAGGTTTCATGTAAATATGAATGTATACTAAAAAAAAAAAAAAAAAAAAAAAAAAAAATTTTTTTTTACTCACAGATGAATAAATAAATTGCTGACTGGTAGAAAGCCCTCCATTATATGCGGATACATGACTTCAGAGTTAACTGGCATCTAAACATAGTAAGTTGCAAAAATAAAGTTTACAATGATTAGACAAAATGAGACAAATCTTCAATCATAAAAACTCTTAATCACAGTTAAGCTCAAACTATATTAGCTTATTATTAAATTTGAAAAAACTTAACAGCTCTTGGAACAAAGCCAGCATTGTTATTAATATCAATAATGTTAGATTTACAACAGGTGCTTAATAAAGTTTTTAAATAAATGACAAACTGAAAAGGTAACTGTGAGCATTTACTACATAGCAGGCACTATGTTGGACATTGTATATACATTCTTTTTTATAACAACCCTGTTAGAAAGTGCTACCCCTATTTTATAAACAAACTAAATCTTAGCAAGGTTTGCTAGTAACTAGGTGGCAAAATATTTGATTTTTAAACAATATGAGATCGTACTAATGAGATTCCAGAGCCATTACAGTCTCAGCACACCTTCAGATGATGCCTTGATGATTTCACAACAAAAAATAGATTAAAAAAAAAGATCTTCCCTACTAGAAATATCTAATTTGCTAAAAGCTCAGTTGCCTCATTTCAATTGTTTCATTATTGCATATCTTCTATTCTAATCTGAGAGTCCTTCCGAAGAAGAGAACAGTATCTGTGAAGACTTTGCAGTTATTATAGTCTCTGAAGACAGACTATAAATATGTGAACAACTGTATAGCATCAATAATTTGTAAGTGTCACTTAGGTCTTTTACTATAGTTTTCATCTTACTAAAGCTATCCATATAAACCATTATTAGGTCTAAGATTCCTTTGCATGTGACATTCATTTCATGTAAGTCTTTGAATTTGTTAAAGATAAAATCAAGTATTTCTTATCCAAAAAGATAATATGCATTGTAAGCAGGAGAAGTGGAACAAAAATAAAAAACAAAAAGATTATTTTGTCTCATCGTAAACTTACCATATAAAAATGCTCCAGTCGAATTCCATATACTATTTGTAAGGCTCTCATGTAGATCATGTGTAATACTTCAGGCTACAAAAAAAAACAATTGTCAATATTTTCATGCATGACTGTAACGCTGTATTACTTATCATTATCTGATACTGTATAGTCAGTGAATGCACAGAAGAAAAGGGCAACAAAAGTACACTAATTCTCTTAAAATACTTCAAAAATTTTTCCAAATTTTAAAACAACCAATGATACTTACGATTTGTTCCTATGTAATAAATGGTAAAGATGAGTTGCTTACCAAATTGCAAGAAAGCATATGCAAATCAAATCCAAGAAGCCCCACCCATGTTAGCCAACACAAGTAGGCTGTCATGCATGTGGCAGAAATGTCAGAACACCAAGGATATATTTTTAAAAACTTCAAGAACCTGGTTTACTATTTTAGATATTAAGGTTTTCTTAGATTTAAACTTTAACAGAACATTTGGAATAAGGGTATACATGTAAAGGGGTAATAAGGATTTTTTAAATCTTCTAAATCAGTAGTTCATAAATGCTAGTCTGTGAACATACTCAAATCTAATACAAGTTTACTGAATGAGCAATAAAATGCCATACAGGAAATGTGGCAGTCTTTTCATAAAATAAAATTTAAAGGCCTAGAATGTACTTTTGAGATTATTCCTTTTATCTTAAAGAGTTAAAAAGTTCTAAGATCAAAAAATTTTAGTTCTACATCATTAAATCAGGTTTTCCTATGTTATCATTTCAAGATCAACACAGGAAACTGTAAGGAAACCTGGGGATTTTCTGTGACACATAAATACCTCATTTTTGCATTTAATAACTAAACATATAAAGAACAATGCCTGTCAAAGCAAGTCAATTCCCTCTTGAGGCATAACACAAGAAAATTAATCTCTAAGCTCCCAAAGAGGCTTGTTTCTAAGCATTTTTTTTGTTTGTTTGGAAATCATTTGGAATAAGTTCCATCAAGTCCTGCCAATAAATGATACTCTCATGCCACCACTCCAATAATAAAAAATTTAATATAGCTATAGTTTAAAAGCCTTAAAAAAAGAAAACAACCATGTTAAAGGACTGAATTCCTAATGGGAATGTTGAAATTTCCCAACATACAAACCAAATGTTGTTTTAAAATTACACCAAGCGAGAGATTTTTCTCTAGATTAAATATGACTGGCCTACCTCAAACAGGAAGATAGATACCTTTCTTACCACACCATAAACCTAACAGCTTACTTTGTTCTCACATACCAGATCCATATATGTACACAACCAAATTTTACCTTTGGATTTGGGTAAAGATCATTTTTGGAGAGGTTTTTACCATCAGCTCCTGTTAAAAATTTATTACGGATATGAACCACAATTTCAGCTACATTATATCTGGGGAAAGACAAAGTTTCCATCTTGGAAATCTCCTTCTAGTCTGAAGAAAAAAAAAACAAAGATCAGACATACAACCAGTACTTCTCATAAAAACTGATGAACATAAAAACAAAATGAACAAGTCAAGGTTAACCATTCATGGTGCCAGCTATCACCAAATATGTTAGTATGATAGATTTCATATACATGTATATATTCCCTAATATAATTTTTATTTTAAAGTAATATACTCGTTTTATGCTAATTTTCCTAGTGCTGTTCTCTTCCATAAGGGAAGGATTTTGGTTGATAATTGGAAAATCTTGTACTTCTTTTTAGATATTTGGGGGTTAGAAGATTTAAACAGATCAATTCAAAGGTTAATCCTCAAAGCAAAGCATAAGGCAACATCATCAGGAAGCTATATATTAACAATAGTAATATAGGAGATAATGAAATTGAATTCTGATTTGACATCCTATTTAATATACACATAGTGAGAGTTTAATATGGTTTAAGATGCAAAAAAGGGAGGAAAAAAAGAAAGATTAGAGGCTATGAATGGCAGGGATTTTTATCACTAGAGATAAGAACTTTTAAATAAAAAACAAAAAAATCCCCTCATGTATTCAGATAGTGAATTACTCCTATCTATGCTCCCTAAAGTATTAGTTCTCACAATACCATGTCCCTTTCTTCCAGGGCACATCTGGCAATGCTTGGGTACATTTTTAGTTGCCACAACAGGAGTAGAGATGCTGTTAAAATACAGTGGGTACAGGCCAGTGATGCTCTTAAATATCATATGATGCACTGAATGGCCCCTCGCAGCAAAGAATTATCTAGTTCAAAATGTCAAGAAGGCAGAGGAGAGGACACTCTGTCCTAGGTCATTCATCTATGTTGTCATACTTATGGCAATATACTGGGATTGAAGTTATAGAACTGTGATGGTACGATGTGAAATTCCAGTAAGTTATGTCCCTTTTATCATCTCTACAAGTGCCTAACAGCAATAGCAACACTAAGAGCAAGAGGAGCAGTAATTGCAGCCAATGCTTCAATCATTCACTTAAATATTATTTAATTATCCAGAGACTCCCCTACTCTCCAGTGAAGCAGCATAACCCCAAAGACTCAACATGAATATATTCAATTTTGCAAACAAACTAAACTGGTCTGCAATTCTGGAAATCCATTTCTTTAGGCTTCTAATGTTTCCTAGAATATGGGGATTAAAAAGCTTTGGCAATGAGCCTAGCCTCTAATAAATGGAGGAGTCCTTCCTCTAAGATGGCTGTCAAATAACTTCTTAGATCTGCTTGAAAACATCACAGGATTCACTAACTCAAGTCAACTTTTTCCCACTTCAGCACTGCTCGAATTGGATAAACCTCCCTCATACTGTACAGAACTGTGTTTTGTAACTTTCACCTGCTAGTCCAATTTCTGGTCACTGCAGCTACACAGACTATATTAATCTCTGTTTACATGATACTACTTTAAAAAATTTGATGAAGTTCCATCTCTGCCAAACTTTCTCTTTTTCAAGGTTAAGTTTAATTTGTTTACATATAGCCATTCTTGTATGACGTGGTTTCGGAAACTACCCTTTGTGTAAGGAAAAAAATAACCTTTTTCTTACTCTGCTCACTCAACAGTTAACATAAAAGACTTGTGATCAAATGGGGGGGTCCCCCATCACCAAGGGAGCAGACAATAATGCAGCCCAGCCCAGGGTCCTTTTAATTTTGACACTATCTAACTAGAAACAGTATGAGAAGTTATCAGACACTACAGGCAGAGGGGCATAGTCCCTAAAACTGCCCCCACCCCCACTTGATATGCCAATTGGAAGCCCTAGTTTATTTTCCTGTTTCTGAACAACATGTTATATACTGCAGTTCCCATCATCCCTTCCTTGAAGTTGATTAATTTGCTAGGGCAGCTCACAGAACTCAAGGGAACACATTTACTGTTTTGTTTTTCTTTTTCCCCACATTTACTGTTTATTACAAAAGACATTACAAGAGATGAACACTGGATGAAAGATAGATACAGAAATGCATGGGGAGGTGGGGTATGCAACCCCCAGGGAGCATTTGGCTCCTCAAATCTGGTCAATTTGAGCTTTTATGAAAGCTTCATTAAGTGGGCACAATGGTAATATCATTGGCCACGGGTGATCAGCTCAGTGGTTAGCCTCTCCCTTCCCAGAGATGGGCATGTGGGCCTGAAAGTAGTAACGCCCTAATCTTGCCAGGATCTTTTAAATCACCTACCTACATTCTGGTAGCTAGAAGCTGCCAGCTGTCAAGTCAGCCATTAGCATACAAAAAGACACTTAGCATTCTGAAGATTCTAAAGACTTTAGTTGTGTATCAAGAATTCAGGACATAGATCAAATATATATTTCATAGTATCACATCATCGTTACCTTCCTCTAGAATATTATTTTGTTAATGTCTTCTTAAAACATAATGTCAAAACTAAACACAACACTCCATCTAGTGGGCCTAGGGCACAGTATTAATATAGCAAGGGATGTCCTCTGCAGACCTAAACTACAACTGAAACACTTTCATATGCTTACGATCAACTGAAACTCGAAGAACTTCTTCAACATGATCCACTTATATCAGCCAGGATTTCCCCATGTTCTTAACTTAAATTTTACAATTGCAAACCTTTATTTTAGAGCTAAGATCATTATGAATCTAGATTTGGATACTTCATGTTATTAGGTGTCCCTTTGCCCAGCATAAATGTGTAATAAAGTAAAATATCCTAACCACCCAAAATATATTTCTTTGGTATATTTCCGGTTGGTTTTGGAAAGAAATTGCATACTTCTATAGGCACATAAATGACACTCAAAAGCTGTCATTTGGTAAAAAGAAATTTATAAATACTTATCTAAACTTGTAAACAATGAAGGCAAGCAGAAACTTCTCTATTACACACTGTCATTTCTGCATAGGAAACATTTTTGCCCAGAAAGAGCCTGGGTTTGCTCTGGCCTAGACAGACTACCACAGGTGGCTTTCACCTGGAAGAATTTCAGTATAACAAGACAACTTTACTTATCTGCACCTCTTCCTCTCAAACTTCCAACCCTGTGGCCACCTCCCTTCCCTTCAGAAGCCCAAACCCCTCTCTGTTTATCCCTTTTATTCTCATACTGTCTCTATGTACTTGATTCCTATGCTTAGGAACGTAATAGATTCTAGCTTTTTCCTCCTGTTATTTATTTCGCAGACTAATACTATCAAATCTTCAAGAAGGAAAAGAGTAAACATAAAACTTCCCTACATATGCATTGTATATTTTCATCTAAGTCAGATTTAAAAACTATTGGTAAAAGGAAAAACTGCAAAAGCAATTTACTTCTCCAAAGTAAACATCTGGACTAGAGATTATAGTATCACAATAGGTGGAGTAGGTGTCGTATATCTTCATAATTATTATTAGACATCTCTCCACAAGGTTTTGTTCGCTTGGTTGTTTGGCTAATGTAACACGTAATGCATCATGTAACATTTGTACAAAAATACCTGAGTTACCATATCCACCACATCAAATTTAAATTTATGTGCTTAGTTTCTAAAATTTTTAACGATCTAATGAACTGTCTGCTCTAGGTGGTTTCATTTTGGAATTGCTCTCCATATCCAAATTCTGTCATTCTTTCATAGTACAACTAGTTTCAATTTTTTACTGTGTGAACACGTTTGTGTGTTCTCTCGCACACAGGAATAATTTGAGCTTTTAAGTGGGATAAAATACATATGTATACAGACTTAGTACATATATGTAAAACTACCATTTGGCATCCTAGCCAGTAGACACACTATCTGATAATTACCTCACGTGACTCATTTATTTGCAATACCGGTAATGTGTTGAGCAGAGCAGGTATTGGAAGAACGATCTGTTAAACCTTACACGCTTCGTTTTTTGCCAAACGTTCGTAGCAATCACAACTCCAGGAGGAAGAGATTAAACAAAAATAAACAAATAACTCCACCAATATCTCAAGACGTCCCTTGAACTCACAAAAAAGGGGAAAAATAGCGCCCTAGGGCCTTCAACTTTTGGATTATGGTATTTTTCGCTTTTGGTTCATAGTTTTGGATATGGCTAAGAAATGTCTGAGTAATGAAGATCCACAGAAAAGTTGACAAGCAAATGCAATCAATCAAGCCCTGTAACATCACCCTTCCAGATATACACAAATACAAGCTTAAATTAACCTGCTTCAAGTCGAATCTCTTCCCAGTCTGTACTGCACAGATAACACCCTTTAGTGTCCTAGGAAATGACCTCAGGTCGTTCGGGAATTAAAAATCAATTGAATAGGAGCTAGGGCTGGCCCTGCACTTTCCAGGAGACAGGCCGCCCTAGCGCCGCGCGCACTATGAAAGCACTTGGAGCAGCGTCCAGACTCCACAGTAGCGCCAAGACACCTCCGTCTTCCTCCTCCGTCCTCCCGCGCCTGCTGTCGCACACTTACCGCATTAGCAGTCGGCCAGAAAAAGAGGTGTAGGCTGAATGGCCACCCGGAGTCGAAAATCAGCAAACACTAACCGTTGCCCCTTTTCAAACCTGCCGCCTCCCACTGGAAGTCCCGCCCCTTTTCTGCCTAGCCCACTTGCACCTCTGACGGCTGCCGGTAGGGCTCAAAAGACTTAAGGAGTGTGGGGCGTTAAGTGTGAGAGCTAAGGTTGGGTTCCGGGTATGCGGAACTATTGTTTCATCAGAGCTAGTTTCTGGTCGGAACTAGGATTCCGCAGGAAGCGGTTGCGCAGCTGCTAAGGGGAGGAGTCTGAGCCGGGCGTTCAGTCAGTGAGTTTCCCAGGTACATTATCTCATTTATCATTTAAGCTTTATTAAAACGCTGAGGCCGAGGAGCGGATAGATACTATCAATACCTCTCGAAAGCGGGCTTAAGTCACAGAGAGATAAAGAACTGACCGTAAGCCCGGCACAGTAATCAAAACAGTCTAACCAGGATATGGGCCTGCGTCGGCAAGCGAGAGGTGAAACGAATCTAACAGTTTCTGTGATCAAGTCCTCTCCCTTTCCCAGATAGGAAAACCACCCCCACCGAATTGTGCCCCCAACCTGCACGGGTCTGGATGAGTTAGAATCTTCGGATAAGAGGCCCCGGTTTCTGTTTGTTTGTTTTGTTTTTTAACGTGGATTTTCAAGGCGAAAGTGGAATCATCACATTTAATACAAGTCAGTAGTTTGCAGAAGACGTGGTGGGTGTGGTTGTCAGAGAAGAAAGCTTTGATGAAGTTTTATTTACGTTTGGGCACCAGAGAATTTAAAGCTTGTGGATGGAGTCTGAACTGAATGATGTGGAAAATACTGCGAAAAAGTTGTACTGAAAAAAGACAAGGGGTCGGGGATTTAGGTCAGTGGCTCCGCCGCCTGCCTAGAAAGCTCAAAGTCCTGAGTTCATCCCCGGTACAAAAAGAAAAAGAAAAAAAAAAAAAGAAAGAAAACAGACAAGCACATTCTGGTGCTTTGTGATGTGGGTTGAAGACTTAGACCGACTGGTACAGAAATCTATACTAGTTCTAAATAAAAATGCATTTCATATTCAGTAGTTTCCCTTTCTCTGTTCATTTATTGGTACAATTCTCCGAGTCAGAATCTAATAAAACTCAAAAGCAGGTTAGAAAAATAAGTTTACAAAAAATATGAGATCCAGTGAAGTGAGGAGAAAACAAAAGGATCTTCCTCATTGGCACTTGCCAAATCAAACTGATTACTCTTTAAAGGCAGAGAAGGGGAGCATAGTGTAGTGCTTCTGAACACACTCCAGAGTCTATCTCTGGCTACCGCACTCCCTAAGTAGCTTCAGGCAAGGTGTTCAAAGTAACTGAGCTGGTTTCTACATGTTTAAGATTGTAGTAACAGACCTGTCTGCTTTATACAGTTTCATGAAGATTAAATTAATTTGTAAGTGCCCGGCAGAGTTTTGGCTACTCAATAAGAATTAGATGTTATTTCAACTATTATTTGTACACGGGCGGTAGTAAAACTATCTTGCAAATGGTAAGTGCTCAACAGATGTCTGAATTGTTGTTTAGGGTCTAGACAAGAAATGAAGTGCTGTGTGAAAGCCAAACTTAGAATATTTCATATGGAAAGCGAAATGAGGTGAAAAGGAAAAGAGCAGGACAACAGAAGTACATTTTATTTTATGTACAATAAATTTTTGGGGTGTAGCATTACTATAACTGATGAGTTAAGTATAGTTCTCTTGGAATTTAAGAAAAACTGGGCTGGGGATTTAGCTCAGTGGTACTGCTGCCTACCTTGCAAGCACAAGGACCCGAGTTCGATCCCCGGTACCAAAAAGAAAAAAAAAAATTGAAGAAAAACTAATCAATGTTCAAATTATCTTAGTTTAAAGAAGAAATCTGGCTTTTAAAAAATTTGATGTGAAGTGAAAGATGGAACAGCAGGATTCTTACGCTATACTTTCTAGAGTTTTGTCATCACCATAAAGACACTCACTGCTACAGAAAATTAAATTCCAATACAAAGATACTCCTCAGAAGACAGTGGGATTACATCTTGTTAAACCAATGAAGCTCAAAATATTCTAAGTCATAAATGTATGTAATACACTTAACCCACCAAACTTGATAGCTTAGCAACAGTACATTCTAGATTATCATTTCACCTCTTGATAGTGTGGCTGACTGGGAGCTGCATCTTGTTCCCCCTGCCCAGCAAGGAGACAGCATACTCTATGGCATAATGGTGGTTTGGGGGGAAAAAAAATCAAAATTTGAAGTATGGTTTCTATTGAATGCATATTTTTTTTTGTGCCATTGTAAAGTTAACAAAATCATGAGCAGAACTATCATCTGTAAGAGACTATATCTTTTGACTGTGACATCATATTTTCCTACTCCTATGTACTCTCAGTTACACTATACTGTCCTTCTATTTTATTTTCCTTGTCAGCCTTCCTCATTTCACCTCCTTTCCCAGCCTCAACTACATGGTTTATTAGCATCCAGACTCCCTGTGCCTGATTGCTGACCCAGCCTGTTAAATCTTAACCCTGATCTATCCTGTGAGTCTTCAGATAACACCCAGGGAATGATAACATGAAATAACATATAGCAGATTCTCAGAATCCAAACTCAGCTCTCCTTGATTCTTAACAATTCTGTAATTTACCATTAGTCAATTCCTTAGCTTATAACTCTCGGTGATTTCTCACAAGTTTACCACCTAACTCAATCCCCTCTCCAATTTCGACTTCTCTCTACTTGAAGGTGATCTAAGAAGTCTAAAGGTATCTTTAAAGCACTTAACGCATATTCCTTCTGTTAACTGTTCCTTCTAATTTTATTTGCATGTTCCTCTTCTAGATTGCACTTTAAAGGCTGATGACAGACCTCTAAAGACTGAATGGATCTTTACTGTCACAATGACACTTGGACCATGGTGGCCTACAGATGGAACTTTAATGCAGGTAACATCTCTGTGCTAACTAGTGCTTTAAAAAAACCTCTTTTTTAAATGACAGAGGTTCCAACTTCTATTTCTGCTTTATTTTAGTATATCAATAAAGACAAAAAGTTAATTCATTTGATTTAACATCATAAGAATAGGTGAAGTACTACAACTGGGCTCTTTATTCTTGGCATCAATCCCTCACTTATTCGCATATAGATTTTCAAGGGGTCACACACACATTGCCAGTATCTTCCCAGTTATTTGAGAAAATTAAAGCCTCATTCAGCATATATCTTAACTTCTTGCCACCATGCTTTCCCCAGTGCCACATTTATCTATTTTTTCCTTTTCTATCTGCGATGATGAAATGTACTTCTTCCAACAGTGCTGTAGTTCACTGCTTCTTTCTAGACCTCTCTTCCATATTTGATACAGACCTTTTTTTTTTTCCATTGCTCCCATTTTATTTTCTCCTTGTCTCATGCATCTTAGTGGATTCTTTCTCTGCCTGCCCTTGAAACAGTGTTTCTCAAAGTTTCAACCTTGAGTTTTCCTGTCTGTATCTTCCCCATATACAGCATTTGATTTCGTTATTTTAACCCAAATGTATCTGCTCATGAATTCTAACATTACTGCAATATCTGACTCTTCCTTGAGCTTCAGACTTTTATTTCCTTTAGTTTAATTTATTACTGTAATTCATCTTTTCCTTTCATTTCCACTACCAATTCTGTGACACTGCATCTAGCATTTCCACCCCCACCTATACAACCAAGTCTGTCTTATAAGTAGCAGCCAGAATTAAGATAGGATAGAAAAATAAATAAACATAGGTAAAAAGGAGACAAGGAGAATCATAATTTTAAAATGTACTTTGGGGCTTGGAATTTAGCTCAGTGGTGCCGCCATCTGCCTGGCAAGTGCAATGTCTTGAGTTCTATCCTCGGTACCAAAAAAAAGGGTACTTTTAAGGAAAACTGTAGTTTCAGGACACTAAATTTATCCAAGGTTACAAAGCCTTTCCTTCCAGGAAACTCACTTCAAAAATATTCCTAAGTGTCTAGAAAATACAGTAAGTCTATAAATTGGGACTAGACCCAAAGTTTTTACCTTTATATTGCTTTCCCTCTCACATACCTACAACCTCATGAAGTAGCACTATTAAGTGGACAGCAGATCTCTGAACTTCACACATGCAAACAGTTTGCATTTTAACATAGCCCACCAAATGGGTGGACTGACAGACAATGTAAATATACATCCTACATCATACATCTTGAAGCTAACCCTAAGACCACAAGGAAATCCACCAACCCCAGACCATAATTAATCCATTAATCTAAGAAATAGAAATACTATTCTTGCTGTATATACTTTTAAAATTCTACTTAATAAACCTTTCCTAGTGCCTCTTAGTGATGTGTCCTGAAAATTCTTTTTCTGCAACTGGAGTCAGTGAACCTAAAACCTACCCTGTGGTGGGGTGACTTGTGGTCCCCAGCTGTTCTTTGGACCCCACCCAAGGACAAAATGTCTTAGTCTCAAATGTAAATCTCACCATTTTACTTTTCTACATAAATTTCTACACCTCCTCTCCAATCACCTCCAAAATTGTATTTGAATCCATAGCCTGGTATGCTGCTAGATCCTCCATGATTTTACCACTATTACTTTTCCATTCTTCTCATCCTAGTCACTGCCCATTCATTGGGCTGTTCTAAAATGATCTTTGACACATATTCATGTTGACTCTATCTGCTCTGTTCTTCTTTTCTTTCCTTGATTCTTCTTTACTCTTGTTTTTCAGAAGTTTCAAAAAGGCCTTTCCTTCTTAGTTGATTTCTTTTCCTTGCTTCTTGACCTTCATCTGTTCATTCAAAACATAGTCATTGAGCCCTAACTTTATGTGAAACAATGAGTTATATAATAGAGAGATACAATAGTGAACAAAGAAATACGGTGAGAATCAACTCAATACCTGACCTGACAGAGTTTATGTTCTTGTTGAAAAACAAAGACTTTAAGAAAAATAAAGAAGTGGTTCAGTCTGATTGGCTGCAGATTTGAGAATATCCAGGAAATGATCAAATTATAGTATGAAGAACAAGTTTTTTATGTAGAGTTGACAAATTGTTAGAGGCCCCTGAATGAGAAGAGGATATACTCTGGGA